GAAAGTTACCTGATATCCATCCTTTGTTTTGTTCTTAGCAATAATGCAGAGGTTTTTGGTAAACTGTATTTTATATAGAAGTGTACAATTATTTTATATAGAAGTGTACAATTATAAGTCTACTTTCAATTATTGATTTTTATTAAGTCATTGTAAATATTGGTAACTATAATATTGAGCTATTGAGCTATTTCTCTGACTACACCAAATTTGAGCGGGGTTTTTTTTTTTTTTCTCCCCGAGTCAGGGTCTCACTCTGTTGCTCAGGCTGAAGTGCCATAGGCTATCATAACTCAACTGCAACCTCAGACTTCTGGCTCAAACAGTCCTCTCACCTTAGCCTCCTGAGTAGTTGGGACTACAGGAGCATGCCACCACATGCGGCTAGTTACTATTTTTTTTTTTTTTTTTTTTTTTTAGGGATGGGGTCTTGCTTTGTTGCCCAGGCTGGTCTTGAACTCCAGGGCTCAAGTGATCCTCCTACATTGACCTCCCAAAGTGCTAGGATTACAGGTGCGAGTCACCATCCCCAGCCCCTGTTCATTCTTATTTTTGATTTTTATCACTATGGTGGCTTTCAGTTTAGATTTTAGTAGTTTTATGAAAGGCACTACATTCACAGTACCCAAAAGTTACCCAGAGATTGGCCTGCTTAAAATTTTAGGTTGGTTGTGGGATAAACATACTTACCTCCAAAATGATACATACCCTGAGCACAATTATTTCTCTCTTAGCTCTCACTTGCTTTTGAATAAACCGTACTGCTCGGGAGAAGTTTGGAAATGTAGTAATAATTAAAGACTGCTTCTAGTCTGGTTGCGGTGGCTCACACTTGTAATCCCAGCACTCTGGGAGGCTGAGGTGGGTGGATCACGAGGTCATGAGTTTGAGACCAGTCTGGCCAACATATAGTGAAACCCCATCTCTACTAAAAATACAAAAAATTAGCCAGGCGTGGTGGTGTGTGCCTGTAATCCCAGCTACTATGGAAGGCTGAGGCAGGAGAATCGTGTGAACCCAGGAGGCAGAGCTTGCAGTGAGCAGAGATCGTGCCATTGCACTCCAGCCTGGGCAACAGTGCGAGACTCCGTCTCAAAAAAAAGACTGTTTCTGATGCATTCAGAACTTCAAACTTGAGTCATATACGTTAGGTCTAAGAGCCTTTTGTAAAACTGTATTTCCATCAGATAGTTCCTTAAAAATCTGTAATTCCATTTTACTTAGTGTAATTTATGCAGCGAGGAATGTCTGTGGTCTCCGTTGTTGGCTGTTCATATGACTGCTTTGAATAAATTCCCAAAGTTCCTATGGTTTCAAATTTATTGTGTTCAGTTGTTTTGTCACATCAGTTCTAGTTAGTTTTATCAGCTACTTGAGACTCCAGAAAGTTTTTTTTTGAACTTTAGAAACAGTTTAATAATTTGTAGAAACTACTTGACTGCATTAAAAAACTGAAATGTTCACTTTCTCCTTTGGCTTGTAGTGAGTATTAAATAAATGAGGATGGCTAACAGTATGCAGTCGAAGAAATTCTGCCTTGGTTACTCTCCCCATGCAGAGAACCAGATTAGCAAAGTTTATATTAAAACCATCTGTGGGGCCAGGTGCAGTGACTCATGCCTGGAACCCCAGCACTTTGGGAGGCTGAGGTGGGTGGATCACCTGAGGTCAAGAGTTCAAGACCAGCTTGGTCAACGTGGTGAAACCCCATCTCTACTAAAAATACAAAAAATTAGCTGGGTGTGGTGGCAGGCACCTGTAATCGCAGCTACTGGAGAGGCTGAGGCAGGAGAATCACTTGAACCTGGGAGGTGGGGGTTGCAGTGAGCCAAGGTGGTACCATTGCACTCCAGCCTGGGCAACAAGAGCAAAACTCTGTCTGGGGGGAAAAAAACAAAACAAACAAAAAAATCTGTGGAAACTGTGCTTATTTGTCCCTTGTATGAATGAACTATTGAAAAAAAAATTCCTTTTATTTCAGAAATTCACGTCTGGCATGTAAATTCACCCTTTCTATGTTTACAAACTTCTAAAATTCTGTATCTGGCAGGTTAGGTCCTAGGGGTTGCCTATTATCTAATATATGCAAATAATTAATTCCCCTGGTTTTGGTTGCTAAAAGTTTTAGGGTTGCTGCATTTGCCCTGCATGCAGTATGTTAAAAAGCCCCTGCTGTTTTATTTAAAGGTTATTGAGATCTGAATTATTTTTTATCTCAATCCCCTTCTACTTCACAGTTGTTTCTGTTTTCTTCATTACTGGTTCTAACAAAATGTCTGCTGCATCTGCTGTAGGTGTTTTCTACTGCTACTCATCACTTTTCTTTCTCTTTTCTCCTTAGTTCCTTTTGGTTCATGCCTACTTAGTGGCTCTCAGGCCAAGTGATTTAGTTTATAACCTTTTCTCTTCAGGAAAAATACTGCTTTCCTTGTGCTCTGAATTGGCTGGGCGAAACATGGTGTGGTAACCTTCGTGTTGCTATTTTCTTTAAAGGTTGGTGATTCAGTTTTGCCAAAGAAGATAATTTGGCTGTTTTTTGTTTTTTTGGCACTTTCAGATCGCTATTCTTCTTAACTTCTTGATAGAGACCTTACTGGGAAAAATATCTTCTTTTTTTTTTTTTTTGAAGATGGAGTTTTGCTCTTATCACCCAGGCTGGAGTGCAATGGTGTGATTTCAGCTCACTGTCACCTCTGCCTCCCAGGTTCAAGGGATTCTCCTGCCTCAGCCTCCCAAGTAGCTGGGATGACAAGCGCGTGCCACCACTGCCAGCTAATTATTTGTGTTTTTTAGTAGAGACGGGGTTTCGCCATGTTGGCCAGGCTGGTCTCAAACTCCTGACCTCAGGTGATCCACCCACCTTGGCCTCCCAAAGTGCTGGGATTACAGGCATGAGCCACACCGAAAAATATCTTTAAAAAAAATAATCGTGGCCAAAGAAGAAACTCTTGGGTATTGCTTGTGTTTTAATGAAAATATCCTAATTATCAAATGGCTTTTTATGGCAAAATGAATACCCCAAGGCATGTATCCGTAAGATTTGTAAACTCCCATTCTGTACATCTACAACACATGGGAATATCAGATGCATATGATGTAATAAACTATAGTTCATATTTATTAAAAATAAAATTTCACTAAAAAACACTTGTGGACAGACTCCAGTGTGGAACTATAAGACCATTTAAGCGTTTGTTTTCTTTTACAGAACAGTACTTTTTTTTTAGCAAAAAGTAATTAAGAGGGTACTAGCACCGATAGATGTAATTGAGATAAATGGCATGCTTAGAGCATAGCCATTACAAAGTCAAAGTCCTTTCAGGGAGTCTTCTGCAGTTAGGTAGGATAAGTGACTTGATTTCTCTTATTTTGAGACGTTACTTTTGTTTTTTAGCTTTTTTTTTTAATTAGTGGGAATGGAGGGTTGATGTCCAGAATTTAAAGAAAAGAAATACATGCAAATATGGAAAATCGTTCCTTTGGGGAAAAAATGCTCTTTGCTGTCTTATCTAGTCTTAGTCAAGGAAATATGTCCCATAGGTTAATATATCTGAAATATTAGAAGACTCCTACTCATATGAAAGACTGCTTTATTAACATGTAAATCTTTGTAAAATTGTAACAAAATCAGATTCATAGCTAGATATTGAAAATATATATAAAACCTTAGCTTATGGTAATTTCCTATAACATATTCCATATTAAACTATAGCATACCTTATTCTATTCATATTTACCTCACTGGTTCTTTTTTCTGCTCTATAAAGAGAAAAAAGGGTATGCCTAAAGCAATACTGTATATCTTTTATTGTTTGTGCTACAACTTAAGGTAAGATTTCTCCTTACTGATATTCTGCTGTACTTGGTGTGAGGCGGTTTGCAGGGCTGAGAGAGATACTGTAAATCTGATTTAGGAATTGTTGGTTTATATCTGATGAGTTCTATAAAAATCTCATCATACTTACTAAATCAGAATCTGTGAAAGTAGGACACTGGAATTTGTATTTTTAAGCAGATATTCCAGCTATGTGGTTTTTTTTGTTTTGTTTTTTTGTTTGTTTTTTTGGCAAGGTCAGGAATTAGGAACTACTGCTAACCTGCAGAATAAATACAGACACAGTGTAAACATAAGACTTCTGCTTTCTTTGAGCAACTTTGGACTATGCTTACAGATTCCTCAGGATACATGAATTTATTCTCCTGCCTATTTGCTTAGGTAAATAAGTTTAAGAAAAACTACTGTAAGATATTTGTTGAATTATTAGAGCAAAGGAATGAAATAATAGATTTATTACCATTCAAAACATTGCTGAGACAAGATAGAGAAAGGAAAAGTAGTGTTAGAAGAATTGAGTAAAAGGAAAAGGAGAGTAGAACTGCAAATTGGGAGACTTGGTCAACTTTTGTATTTTTCGTCTAGGCACGTAGGTATTTACTGATTAACAGCTAGTAACTTGTGCCCATCATAATGGATGTGTAAGTTTAGACGAGGTGGAATGTATAACAATCATTTCCCTTTGCCACATGCACCTTAGAGCTAACATTGTTAACAGGTAGTAGTAGTAGGAGTGTTCCTACCACCTGTCATTCATATTTTCCCAAAATTGAATATTTTTGTTTGGAATTTTAACATACTTGATTTTTATATGCAGAGAGCAATGAAGAGAATTTGAAAAATCATTCTTATAAATGTAGTTGTCTTTCACTAGTGAAAAATACGTAGTACTTTAGAATTTTTAAGGATAATTTATCAAAAATAACAGAAATAAAAAATAATGTGGCTTCTTTTCCCTACTACGTGGTTATTCATTCAGTGAAACCAATACTTACTGAGTTAATGAGAGTAAACAAATAAGCAGTTGTTTATCATGTTCCTGGCACTGATTTTGGTGGTTTTTTTTTTTTTTTTTTAATAATGAATACTTGTTATATGTGGAGAATATTTTAGTTTTTGGTAATAGAGAATATTTGAGTTTTAATGGAATTTTATTCTCTCTTAGGTCATGTTTACTGGTGAAAATATTCCTGTTCATCCTCATGTTTATAGCAATGGTCATATCTGTTTATCCATTCTAACAGAAGACTGGTCCCCAGCACTCTCAGTCCAATCAGTTTGTCTTAGCATTATTAGCATGCTTTCCAGCTGCAAGGAAAAGGTAGGACTTTTCAGAATTATTCCAGATAGTATCTCTTCTTCTTTCAGTTTAAGTAGATAAATAATTTTAATATGTAATTCTCTTTATTTAGAGGAAGGACTTATGCTTTTTATCTTAAAATTATGGGGAATTTCATGTTTAGTAATAAATTCAAAAGTTATTTTGATACCTTTCATTCCAAATAGAAGTTTTACATGTTGAATGGGGTAGAAGCCAGATTTACTGTTTTATATTTTTTTAAACAGGAAATGTACGGTATGTTCTTAAATCTGATTTTATTCCCAAAAGCATGCACAGGGTAAACGTGTACAAGAAATTCTTTTTGTAGATTTCACAATGGAAAGCCTCAGAAAAGTGCATCATAGCTTCCTTCTCCCCTCTGCCAGCTCCCACCCTATCAGCCTGTTTCAGGAAATTTTTCAGGAACCAGAGCTTTCCTGTCCTAATGATTAGGTTGAAGGAGGAAGACTAGTTTACCAGTAGAATTTTCAGGATGTTTCTTCCTGTTCTCCTTTATTAATCCACAGATTCTATGTCTAATGGAAGTGGGGGGCGGGAAAAACAGAAAGAAAAAAATCACTTATGAAATTTAAAATGTAGGCCGGGCATGGTGGCTCAACACCTGTAATCCCAGCACTTTGGGAGGCCTAGGCAGGTGAATCACCTGCGGTCAGGAGTTCGAGACCAACGTGACCAACATGGTGAAACCTTGTCTCTACTAAAAATACAAAAATTAACTGGGTGTGATGGTGTATGCCTGTAATCCCATCTCCTCAGGAGACTGAGGTAGGAGAATCGCTTGAACCCAAGAGGCGGAGGTTGCAGTGAGCCAGGATCACGCCACTACACTCCAACCTGGGCAACAGAGCGAGGCTCCATCTCAAAAAAATAATAAAAAAATAAATTTTTAAAATATATATATATAAGTTTAGGATACCCTTTAAATGTGTCTGAATCCTCTGTGCACTTCTGACCCTCTTGTCATTCCTGCTTAAGGGTTAGTATAGCATAACATTTATGTATTTCTACATTTTAAAACCCCTCCTAAATCCCCATGAGGGTTTCCTTTTGCATTCTGTTTTAAACAGCTTTGCCCTAGAGGTTAGGGAGCTATTTGTGTTTTACAATTTTCTTCCCTTTTCTCCAAGTTGAACTGAATGTCATTTTTAGTAAATTAGTATTTGGAGAACTTTTAAGATAATAGTTCATTTTTAAATGATAGGTTATATAGAATCTGAAGCACTCTAAGCCACAGCATGTGAAATAATGGGTTAAGTTGGGTTTTTTTGTTTTTGTTTTTTTTACTCATTTATTGCTTATTGCTGTTATATTTTCTTCTCTTACCCAGCCCCAACACACAGACACGTTTTAAACTTTTATGTGTAGGGCAAAGCAGTTTGTGGGTACAAGGCCTTCTGTGTTCCTGTTATGCTTAAATACTGTAGAAAGGTGAGATGGTCACAACAGGATTTAGTAAGAAAGTTATTAAGAGATGAATGTCAGCGATATCTGTACATAGCCTTGCATGTGCCTCATGACTAGATTTTTACATTTCAATATAATGATTTATTATTAAAAACTAAAGAATGACTATATTCTGTATACTTCCTTCATCTTCCTCTAACCCTCACCATTCCCCTTACATTCCAGTTGTCTGCTAGTAGTGTTTCTTGCATACTTAGTATAGACTAATTTTTCCATTTAAAGCAGTAATAAACTATATTTTTACTGTAATAGTTGTATAATATGTTTAATCAAGATGATAATCTGGAAATCAAGATTTCCGTGAAATACGATAAAATTCAAAAAACATTTACTAGGTACCTAGTGTGTGCTACTTTTACTGTGCTAAGTGGTAAGTTACAAAGATGAAGAGGAAAATTTGCTTTGGCATTGAGAGGATCTAGCTCCAAAGAAACCTTAAAAAGTGTTTTAGGCCAGGTGCAGTGGCTCATGCCTGTAATCCTAGCACTCTGGGAGGCCTAGAGGGGTGGAGCACTTGAGGCCAGGAGTTCGAGACCGGCCTAGGCAAAATGGCTAAACCCTGTCTACTAAAAATAGAAAAATTAGCAGGGTGTGATGGCGCATGCCTGTAGTCCCAGCTACTCGGGAGGCTGATCACAAGACTTGCCTAATCCCAGGAGGCTGAAGTTGCAGTAAGCTGATATTATGCCACTTAACTCCAAACTGGGTAACAGAGCAAGAATCTGTCTCAAAAAAAAAGAAAGAAAAAAGAAAAGTATTTTAAATACCTACCTACACATTTTACTATTAAAACAGGTAAACTTTATTCTGTAGTGAACATGGTTCTATGGGCTTTACTTTGTTAATTCTACTGCTATTAAAATATTTTACCTTAGGTGTTTAAAATTTTAGTCATAATTCTTTTATTCCAGTTTCCTTTTAAACAATCAGGAGTGGTTCCATAAGCTGAAGGTATTTAAATCCAGTATGCCATTAGAGTGCAGTGGATTAAAGATAATTTCTGATATTGAGATCACAGGCCTTTCAGTAAATTTCACTTTATTCGCATGCCTTTATAATATACTTACATTGTTCAAACTTTTCAGTTTGTATTCCATTCCTAAAACAATTTTGTAAGACATCTTTCGTATAGTTTCTTTTCCAAGAACTATATCTCCCTGATCACTTGTCAGGGAGATAAATGATTTAAGCAAATAGAATTGAGTATTTCTTTTTTCTAAATATGTATTTTTTGAAGAGTTTTCTGATGATTCTTGGGTTCTAATCAATACATACCTAAAATGAGTTTGTGAAATTATTTGCTCTAGTAATACCAATTCCATATGAACATAGATTTGACTTTGTAGAATCATCCCTTCCTTGAAGTAGTCAGGCATCTAATTTCATAATATTCATTTTTTTAGGAATTTTCTCAAATTGTGTGCACAGATTAACTTGGAACACTTAAATACCTTGAATGTCTTGTGCTCTAATATTTCTTTTTGTTAAATAAAATTACTATTAATATTAACACATAAGAACATTATGAGGCTCAACTAGGCTGATAGTTACATATATGAGTTTTAGAAATGCCAAATGAACTAGCTGTTTTCCTTCCTGCTATCACAGAGTCCTACTCACCATTGCTTTCTGGTTAGACTTTCCTTCAATGATGTCATACCAAATTCACTTATTTTCATTAGCCTCAGGTAGAGGAAAGGATTCCCTTAATCTCTCATTTTCATTAGCTTAACTAAGCAGATTTAAGTCTGAAAATAAATTCTGCATATACACTATAAAATATTTAATGATAGGAAAATAATCAAGTTATTGGAATGATTCTGAAAGGCATAAAGGAGACTTAAGGATAGCTATCATAGTATCTATAAACTTTAATATAGCTTTAATATAAATTTGATGTTTCCAAGTCTTTGTAGAGAGTATACATTTTCTTTTCTCTGGTCAGCATCCAACAGATTTCAGGAAAAATCTCTTCCATAATGTATCTTCAGTGTTGTTGGCATCGCTTTATCTGAGGTAGCTCCCTTGCAGAGCTGCCATATATTTCTCATATTGTTCTAGTCAGGGCATATGTTCAGCAGAAAGGCCAATTACAGCAGAAATGCCAATATATATTTTTCCCATTTTTTCTCTTAAATACTGTTTAGAAACTGAATCTTCTGGTCTATCTTTGATGGTATCCTATTACAGTAAAAATATAGTTCTTTGTGGAGGTGTGTACGTTGCTATACTTCTCCAGACAAATCTAGTTTAGTAGACTTTTCTGTTTTTTTGGTTTTGTTTTGGTTTGTTTCGAGATGGAGTCTGGTTCTGTCTCCCAGGCTGGAGTGCAGTGACGCAATCTCGGCTCACCGCAAGCTCTGACTCCCGGGTGCACACCATTCTCCTGCCTCAGCCTCCCGAGTTAGCTAGGACTACAGACGCCCGCCACCACGCCCAGTTAATTATTATTATTTTTTAAAATATTTTTAGTAGAGACAGGGTTTCAGCGTGTTAGCCAGGATGTTCTCGATCTCCTGACCTCGTGATCTGCCCGCCTGGGCCTCCCAAAGTGCTGGGATTACAGGTGTGAGCCACCGCGCCTGGCCTTTTGTTTTGTTTTATTATTTATTTATTTTTTGAGACAGAGTCTTACTCTGTCACCCAGGCTAGAATGCAGTGGCACCATCTCAGCTCACTGCAACCTCCACCTTCTGGGTTCAAGCAATTGTCCTGCCCTAGCCTCCCAAGTACCTGAGATTACAGGTGCCCACCACCACTCCCGGCTATGTTTAAATTATGTGAATTTATGTTAAATTATGTGAATTTGCCTTTTCTCATCAGTCCTTCTTCATTCCCCTTATAATTAATTTAATTTTTTTGTTTGTTTGGTTGGTTGGTTGGTTTTCAGACAAGAGTCTCACTCTGTTGCCAGGCTGGAGTGCAATGGCACGATCTCGGCTCACTGCAACCTCTGCCTCCTGGGTTCAATCAATTCTCCTGCCTCAGCTTCCCAAGTAGCTGGGATTATAGGCACGCACCACCACACCCAGCTAATTTTTTTGTATTTTTAGTAGAGACTGGGTTTCACCATGTTGGCCAGGCTGGAACCTAACACAGACCACACTCAAACACCCTTATTATGCCTTTTTTAAATTTAGGTGTTAAGCATACACATTTCCTGGAATACATCTATAGTTTTTATTCTTTTAGATATATGTTTTTTACGCATTCTGTTAATCTTGCTTAAGCTTTTATTAAAACTGTCACCCTCTTAGTTTTTCTGTTTTTCGACTTACGTATTTAAATTATTTTTTGTTTCAGAGACGACCACCAGATAATTCTTTTTATGTGCGAACATGTAACAAGAATCCAAAGAAAACAAAATGGTGGTATCATGGTAAGCAGTTTGAATTTGTAGTAACTTTTTAGCATTTTGATTTGAAGATTATATATATTTGCTGTAAGACTTGGAGAAAAGAAGGGAAGCTATAATTGGTGTTATATTTATGTTATTTATGTAGTTTGGAGACGCATAATCGCCAAGTAAGCCAAGAAGTACCAACAAAAATAGACTTTCAAACCAAATTAACCTTTCACATAATGTAAAATAGTCTGAAGTTCATACAGTAATTCATTTTTCCAATAAATCAGATTAAAGTTATCCCTTCCTCTTTCACCTCTCCCCTCAATGCAAATGAGCTATTTTTAAAAGGTACTGGATTCTTATTCTCCTGAATTATGACTGTTCTAGTCCAGTCCCCAATCCTGGGTACATAAAACTTTTTTTTTTCATTTACAGATAATTCTGTTTAAAATATCCTTGGTTCATTGATTTGGCGATGGCCATTCTTATCTCTTAATATATTTTCTCCTCTTGCTTGAACACTGAATGTTTGAATCATTCCCCTCCACCATTCTCCCTTTAAGGAACAATTTGTTCTGAAAATGAGTTTCATAGCAATCAAGGAATGGAAATATTTGTTATACATTGAGATGGTAAAGCAACTGTTCTGTCATCCAACTAGGATGGCTACAGAGAATCTTCTTTGAACTTCTCCTTCACTTTTTTTCCTTCACTTTTAAAAAGCTAATACATTTCAGCTGTGTTGCCTTTTCTCATCAGTCCTTCTTCATTCCCCTTATAATTAATTTAATTTTTTTGTTTGGTTGGTTGGTTGGTTGGTTTTCAGACAAGAGTCTCACTCTGTTGCCAGGCTGGAGTGCAATGGCACGATCTCAGCTCACTGCAACCTCTGCCTCCTGGGTTCAATCAATTCTCCTGCCTCAGCTTCCCAGGTAGCTGGGATTATAGGCGCGCACCATGCTCTTTTCTCCTATATATATATCAGAATAGCAGTCACAGTCAATGTGAATAATAGCTTGTCCTGGCATTATAGGTAAATTTGGGTAATCTTATCAAAGATAATCATACACTTATAAAAAGCGTAACATTAATTTTTTTTATTAGAACTTTCCACAAGTCAGCGTATCTTTTTCTGCTTAGCTCTAAGTGTTATACTGCTTAGTTCCAGTATAAGACCTAGTTACCAAGACATATGGACTCTTGATGTTTCTTAGCATCATCTAATTTTCAAAGGATTACAGAGCAGGCCAGTTTCCTTATGTGACTTTCAAGGCTAGGCAGAAAGTTCAGAAACTGAACAAAGGCTTACTAAGAATTGGATAAACATTTCTATAGAATTATAAACACTTAGCATTTCAGTTTCTAGAAACTAAGCGGAATTGTATACCTCAGGTCTCAAGCTCCACAGTTCTCCTGTGTGGTGCTTCCCGGCATACTTGGGTCAAGGTGAGTCGGTGTTTGCCAGATCTAAGCAAAGAGGCAAGAGAGGTTTGGTTTAGATTAATGACTATATGTATACTTCCTGGATGCTTCATGCAGGATGGAGTCACAGTTAATGAAAAACAACAAATCTGAAATTCACTTCATTTCCTGGTTTTATATGAGGAGGACTCTGCTGACATGCTAAAGCTGAGCTGCCAGATACCAGTGTTAAAGTTCTTGAAAGAGACCTCTCTCAGCTTAAATTTGTGGTTTTCTACATTATTAGTTAGAATCCTTTAAGAATTAGGCCAGTCAGTTTACCCCACTGGTATTGTCTTTGTATGCATCATAGCTTATATTTATTTCTTTTGAGGTTCTTACTTACCACACAGTGATTTATTACCATGTAAAAAGTCACCTCATTAGTGTTTAGAGGCCTTTGGATATATTAAATAAAAAGTTGTATTGATAGTGACTACACATTTCTTTATTACTTACTTGAAGTTGACTATCAATGTGTTTTCCAGAATTCCTTTATGGTTTCTGTTCACTAAGAAATTGAAGTCATACCTGCTTTGAAATGCAAATTTATTTATTGCCATTGCCAGTTAAGGCAGTTGGGGAGTGGGAGGGGATTCTTATGCTTTGAATAATCAATTGAGCAGGGAGAATAGGGTTAAAAAAAAATAAAGAAGCCTAACCAAAATAGGTACGCAAAATAGACAACTCACCTCAGCATACAGATGGGTTAAGGATTTTTTTTTATGATTCAGGGCTAGAATCTTCCTTAGAAAACAGATCTGCTTACAGTTCCATGCACAAATAAATGAATGATTGAGGCCTCAAAGTTCTATATCATAAAACAGACATGATGATTGTTCTTGGGAAGGATAGAAAGTATCTTTTGAACATGTCTCTTTGTGAGACCATAAAAATAATTTCAGTGAGGTAGCCAACTAAAGTCCATTAGTTGTATGGTCCATTTGTTTTCTGAGGTCAGTATCAGGCATATACAACTTAATTTCATAAATGATTTGCTTTCCACAGAGGAGAGGACAGATTTGTGGCTGCCTGGAACCATTCTCCTTAAAGTGTTAGAAAATTGAATGGTTAGTTATAAACTATAGGTTGAATATCCCTTATTTGAAATGGTTGGTGCCAGAAGTGTTTTGGGTTTCTTTTTTTTTTCCTCAAATATTTACATATACATAATGAGCTATCTTGGGGATGGGAGCCAAGTCTAAACATGAAATTTATGTATGTTTCACATATACATTAAACACATAATCTGAGGGTAATTTTATATAAAACTTCATTTATTTTTTGAGACAGAATCTCTGTCACTTAGGCTGGAGTGCAGTGGTGCGATCATGGCTCACTGCAGCCTCAACTTCCCGGGCTCAGGTGATCCTCCCACCTCAGTGTCCCAAGTAGCTGGGACTACAGGCAATGTACCACCATGCCGAGCTAATTTTTGTATATTTTGCAGGAGGTGTAGGTGGGATTTCACTATGTTGCCCAGATTGGTCTCAAATTCCTGGACTCAAGCAATCTGCCTCAGCCTCCCACAGTGCTGGGATTGCAGGCATGAGCTACCACACTGGACCTATACAGCATTTTAAATAATTTTTTGCATGAAGCAAAGTTTTAACTCTGACCTGTCACATGAGGGCAGGTCTGGAATTTTCCACTTTTAGTGTCATTTTGATGCTTAAAAAGTTTCAGATTTTGGATTTAGGGATGTTCACCCCATGTAACTTAAGGCTCCTGTCGAAGGTTGGTTTCAGAGACCTAGGCTCATAGGAAATGAATTGTTATAATGTTTAGATGGCATATCCAACAAAATGAGTCTGTAATTTGGGGGAGGTGTAGAGGAATACTGGTTTTTAAAAACCATGGACTGCATGCTGATTCTGTTCAGCTGGAATATTTCTATAGCATATAAAGACTACAAGAGGGCAGGAGCATAAAATTGTCTCAGACTAGTAGTATCAAACTCCTTTTCTTCCTGCCTTATAGTTGCTGTCCATAGATTTACCTGTGTTGTGAACTTTTTTATTTGTACTACCTTTTGGAGTTACAAAACCATTTACTAAATTCCTGAGTCTAAACTTTTACTCTGTTTGTGCTTCTGTTTCCTGCTGATTAACAAGTCTGTTGTCTGCCTACTTTGAAATATTTCTTGAATTAGTTCATTAAAGGAAAATTTTAATTCCCTAAATTGTTGAGAGACAAAACTAAATATTTTTTCTTTCTTGGAGGTAGCATACACTTCATATCCACTGACCTATATTACTGTGTTCCTTCTTTTTCTAGTCTTCTGTCTCTGGGGACATACAAGGAGATGGGTTTCCATGATAGTTGGAAAACTATATGATAGTTTTTATTCTCAGGAGAAAACTAAATGACCTTCTTCTAATCTAGTTCTCTCTCATTTACATTTCTCAGAAGCACAGTGAAGTTAGCCATGGTTGGTGTCACCTCTTTGAAACTGGTAGTTTGTATGTTATATTTGAAAGTGTAATTTTAGTAAAGGTTTCTGAAGTTCCAGGAAAAATATAAATGGTTAATATTAGATTTTTCTTTAAGCCATTGTCTTGTCATAAATACTTTAGCCAAGAGATTAAATACACCATTCTTTTACCACCTTTTGTTGTGGTATTTGTCTTGACCCAAAATGGGTTTACTCAGTTATTTATTTATTTATTTAGGTTGGGGGGTTAGTCTGTCCTGGTATCCAATAACACTTTCTTCTGGCTAGCAAACTGTGTTCTTTCTACTAATGGATAAGTTTTTTGCTTCTTAGTTATGACCATCCTATTTAGAAAAAGGATGGCCGTGACTTTGGCTCATACCTGTATCTATACTTAGAATTTGCTTATAAACTCTTGATTACATATAGCCATCATGGATTTGTAATCCCACAAGTCCCTGTGGATCTAGCTATTATAGATCATTTGTTTCTTCAAAACTAGGTGGGTAGTATCATAACAGGGATTGAGATATGGAAAATAGCTTCACAAAGATACCGTAATCATTTTGGTAGCACATTCTGCAGAAACCCACTATACTAAAATGAACAAGCTAATAAAGATGCATTTATGCTACCACCTGTCAAAGATGGCATGTGGAGATACAAGTTTATTGGTAGTTAACTAGATAACATTATGTTCAAATTGAATTTTATCTGTCACTTTTCTTATTGTATACATTGTTATCTTGTATCACCTTAAAATTTATCCTCAGTAGTTTGACATATTAGGTAGAATTTAGTGCCGTCTTTTAGCTTAGAGATTTGAGTATGATTAGTTTTAGTGTTAGTTTTAGGGACCAACCCTATTGTTACTCTATTGCAGAAGTGATGTTTTAAGGAACTTCTTCATATTCCTAAGTTTGTTTTATATCCATAACAAGTATATGTTCTCTGTTCCAAGTACCACAATAATTTAAAGAACATCCCTTTTTTTTTTTTGGAGACGGTGTTGCCTAGGGATCACGGCTCACTGCTGCCTCAACCTCTGAGACTCAAGCGATCCTCCCACCTCAGCCTCAGCGTCCCAAGTAGCTGGGACTACAGGCATGCACTACCATGCCAGGCTAATTTTTGTATTTTTTTAGAGGCAAGATTTTGCCATATTGCCTAGGCTGGTCTTGAACTCCTGGGCTCAAGCAGTTCATCCACCTCAGCCTCCCAAAATGCTGGAATTACAGGCGTGAGCCACTTTGCATTGCCAAAAAAATTGTGAGTGAACCTTACAGGATATAAACTACTTGTTTTCTTAAAGATACTATTCTTATTTATTTTAAGGCATCTAATGAATTAGGGATGATTTATTTTTAAACTCTAGTCTGTTTGGAATACTCTGAGTTTACCCAGCTTAGAAGTCAGATTTTACTGGTTTTTAATTAGCGGTATATCAATTCTAACATGAGACAGTGTATTAATGTTTTGTGTTGCTCTAAAGAAACACCTGAGACTAATTTATAAGAAGAGAAGTTTATTTGGCTCATAGTTTGGCAGACTCTACAGAAGCATAGTGCCGGCATCTGCTTCTGGTGAGGCCTCGGGAAGCTTTTACTCATGGTGGAAGGTGAAGGGAGAGCAGGCAAGTCACATGGCAAGAGAGGGAGCAAGAGACAGAGGAAGGAGGTCCCAGACTCTTTAACAGCCAGATCTCAAGTGAACTAATGACTGCAAGAAGGACACCAAACCATTCCTGAGGGATCTGCCCCCATGACCCAAACACCTCCCCATTAGGCCCCTCTCCAACATGGGGGATCACTCATTTCAGCATGAGATTTGAAGGGGCAGATACCCAAACTATATCAGACAGTTTGTAAAATATTTTGGCTAGGATTTCAGAATTTTTCCTTGAGTGCTTTCACAACTCTTGGCCACCAGTCTTAGTTTCTTTATGTAGCTTCCTTCTGAAGAATAACATCCTCAGAATAAATGTTTCAGATATGTTTCGTGAAATTTTATAAAATAAATAATGAATTCTAAAGTTGTCTGTGTTACATATATATGTGTTGAGACTACCAGAAGTTATTATTAAATAATGACCCCATTTGCATATGTATCTATACTTGCTGAAAGCTTATTTTCTCTCCTTTTTTTTTTTTTTTTTTGAGACATAGCTTCCCTCTGTCTCCCAGGCTGGAGTGCAGTGGCGCAGTCTTGGGTCACTGCAACCACTGCCTCCCGGATTCGAGCAATTCCCTTGCCTCAGCCTCCTGAGTAGCTGGGACCATTGGTGTGTACCACCATGCCCAGCCAATTTTTGTATTTTTAGTAGAGAGAGGATTTCACCATGTTGGCCAGGCTGGTCTCAAACTCCTGACCTCAAGTGATCTGCCTGCCTTGGCCTCCCAAAGTGCTGGGATTACAGGTGTGAGCCACCATGTCCAGCCTGAAAGCTTATTTTCTAAAGAGAGATTAATCTTAACTGTTTATTGATTTGGAGATTGTATCTCATTGGTAAAGAAAGGTTACTTCCTTCACAGTCTAAAGACAAATTGTGTATTATTCTGTGTTAAATAGCGTGGCACTGTTGATCAGGAGTTTACGTCCTATCTCATTACAATGTGAACTTGTTGCCCATAAAATAATTCTCTTAAGATTAATACATCCTGAATATGTACTAACATGTCATATCAGTTTATTATTTTAAATAGAATGTACTAATAACATATCATTTTAAGGTTTGTGGGAACTATTTCTCTGAAAGAATAAAACTTAATTTGTTTATCACTGTATAATTGAACACAGATTACACTTTGTATTCACAGGTTTGGGGGAGGCAGATCAGACATGTAAACTGTGTACTTCTTGCTAATTGAAATTATTTCTACATTAAACAAACTTGTAGAATTTACTTATACATGCTTGACTTTTTAATTATCTTTTTTCTCCTTTTCTTAAAGATGATACTTGTTGATGCCACTGTTATCATCCTCCTAGCCAGAAGATAGTCCTACTGAGAAAATGAGCACTTTGATCATTCAGTCTTTGAACTTTAACCTTTGACTGGAAGTGACCTATAGGCAATGAAGACTACTTCCTTTTACTGCATTTTTACTTGTGTGCATTCTGGGCGCATGTTGATCGCTGGTTCAGTCCAGGCAACTGACATGCTTTTATTAGTCATACAGTATTAATGCAGGTGTCAGGAAACGTCAAATATAATTCCATTTTTTATTTTTATTTTTTTAAGCTTTTGGAAAAGCTCCAGGTCCTTATGTATTGTGCAATAACAATGACTTCCTTGGCGGTTTTGGTACGTTCATTGCCGGCAATGGACGTTGTAACAGGAAAAGTTTTCATTAACTCCTGCCACTCAATGATTAATGCATGATAGGGCCTATGAAATGAACTTGTCGGTTATAGTGGGAATATAAATAAAGTGAGGGATCCAACATTACTTTAAAAGTCACCCCAACTGTTTATATTTGGATTCTATGCACTGTGATCCTAAGGTTAACAGCATGAATTAACATGCGCCTTTAAAGGACTGTAATGAAAGATCATTGCGTATTTATTGAATTGTTTATATCTACTGTCAAGTTGTTTTGACATGGAAGATTTTCAAGTAACATTGGCAGAGAGGTACAATATGTTATCCCTATGGTGAAAATAAATTCATTTGTTGTATATAGTTCCTCAATCTCTGAAGTAAAGGTATGAGTAATATAGGGTATGAATGGTTTAATCAAGGCTTTATTTTGGAAGTAAGAAAAATGGCAGTGATGATTAAATTGCTGCAGTCCATAATTTGGGCTTGTTATTTGTACATTAAAGATTTTTTCCAAGTAGGTTACACTCTGTTCACTTCCTGCTAGCCATCAGCATGAGCCCTACTGCCTAAACACTATTTCATTTATTTATGTTTGGAAAACCCGTAAACATTTTTGTTTGCAATCTTGTTTCTTTTATTATAAGTCAAGTTTGAATGTTACAGTACTTTTATTGAAAAACTTTTGTTAAGTTTTTTCTTGTAAATTTTCTTTACTTGTAAGTATCATCTTGTCCTTTAATCCTGTACCCTAAAATAAGAAATACATTTTTGACAGAGGCTTAATGTTTTAACAAAAGAGTGTGGACATTTTTATTTTAAAATTTAGGCAAAAATCGCTGTCAAATGGTTGCTTATTTGTCTCACACAGCCATATAGTTTTTCCTGGAGGGTTTTGTTTTGTTGTTGTTGAAAAGACTTTGCTTACAGTTAGATAAAATTTTCTACAGAAAAAAAAATCGTTGAAAGGTCCAATTCTCAGTACCATGTGAGTTAATGATACTGCAACTAAGTTCTTTTTAAGAAGTGATTAATGTATTTTATAAATTACCTTTTCACATATGCAAAATCTGTTTCTACTACAGTGTTATTTTTACTAATGCCTTATTGTTGCACTCTTTTTGAAATATCCTGCAGTGAATATATGAATCAATTTGGGCTTAAAACTAAAAGCCAGTTGGCTGAAAGGTTTGAAATATGTACCCCAGTAAAACCATTCAATCAATAATTGGTAAATATTTTAAAATTGTTTTTAATCTGTATAGATGACATTTTGTAGCTTTGTACATGTTGTTAATTAAGGGCATATAATTTTACACTCTAAAAGTATAATTGCTGAACTCAGGGGTGGGTAGACTTCAAAAATATGTCTGCTATAGAAATAACTTGAAAAAAAAATTAAAACCATGGCCAGCCACCAAATTGTGGACACTGTTTATATACCGCTAGTTAACAATTACCACTTTTAAAAAATTATAAACATTTTTGTTCTGTCTTGACTAGATAAATATAAATTCTCACAGTGATCTCTGTCAGTTTTATTAGTTGACCTGTTTAACCAAGACAGAAAGTCTTTGAATTACTCAGAGTTTTAAACTGCTTTTAATATGAAAATTGCAGCTGTAAATTATGTATTTTCATATTTTACATAACTGCTTTACACTACCGTTTGACTTGATCTTTTTCTGGGGGTTGGGGAGAAATCTCTCTCCATATTGCTGGTTCTCTTACTAAAATGCTTTTATAAAGAAATGACCGGTGACATTTATTCACCAAAGGAATTAATATACTGGGTCAAAGATTAACAATGCTATACTATAGAGTAATAGGTCATATATAGCCTCAATTGAGTTTTTTATAACAATATTTTAACATACCTCTCTCTCTACATATAAATACCATAAACTAAAATGAAACAGAGGAAAGTAGAAGAAAATGAAATAATTTCGGTACATCTTACGGTTTAAAGAGAAGAAAATAAGGTGAAATATCCTAAAATATAGGAGCACAAACATTTAAAATTCATAATCAGGTTAACAACACTCTCTTGAAATTTAGGAATCATTGAAAACTCCTTGTACTTAAATTTAATTTATATGTTAGTTACATTATTAAAAGTCGTAGGACATTTATCTGAGTCATTGCTCTACAGAGCAATTAATGAATGGCTTGTAATAATAAAAAGAATATTTCTCTGTAATGCATTGTTGAAAGACAACCAGAATATCAAGAAAATGTATATAGGGATATGCTACTTGCCCCCTCCCTGCATTTCCTCGTGGGGCACTATTTGCTACATAGGCCTACAGAATTAGACTTTCATACTTAGAAGATAATGTACACTTTTCTTTTTTTATTTATTTATTTATTTATTTTTAGGCCATTCTTCTGGTTTGCCAAATTCTATTAAGACAGTAATACATTTGCTTCCTTATTTATGCATGCTTAGATCATGAACGTGGTGCCCTCCCTTTTTTTTTTTTTTTTTTTTTTTTTTGGTCAAGTAGGGATTAATGCCATAGGTTTTAAAGAGAAGGATTGTTTTCAGTTTTTAAGAGAATTTTTATAAAATACACTTTATGGTTGTTCTCTTAAGGAATTAATATTCACTTCTGAAGCACTTACTTGTAATATATAATTTATCATGTTAGCCAGCAGGGAAATAAAGCATTTTTAATCCCCAGAAGAAAGTGCTGGAAATAGCTTCTATATAGTCAACAGTTCACCTGGAGAAAGATCTTAATCCTTGTTGTTTTGACTAGGAATATCAATATTTGGTATAAAGTAACTAGAATAGTTTACTACTTTTTCCCTTATGAAATTTTAAATATATGCAAATATATACATCATTAGATTCCTGTGGTGGATAGTAATTTCTTCAGATTCTAAAACAGGTGTCTAGTGACTGCTTAATTGTTTCCAAGTTGCGTCAAAGATGAATTGGTAAATAATGGAAATGAGTAGTGATATGAAAATGGTTATGTAACTACATATTACTTGTTTCTGGTAATCAAGTCTTATTTTTTAAAAGCCTATTGTTTTTCAGAATTGAGATATTTAAACCTTGTTATAACTTCTTCCTAAAGATAGAAGAGAAGAGGAGGTACTGTGTGTTCAAAAATTTTTTTAAATAAAGAATTCAGTGTCACTAGTTCTAAGCCTTTATGGTGACTGCTGCTTATATTTCTTGATCTCATGTTCATTAATTTTTTTGTACATATCTTAGCTGAATGCTTAAAATTTGCAATTGTTTGTAATTGTGTATGTAAATTGCTTTTCGATAAGAACTGAAGCTTAATCATATTATTTTCTGAGAATTCATTATCAAAATCAGCTACTATACTGTTCTGTGTTATAGTAATGCCCTTACTGCCTGTGCATGATTGAGGTCTGTGAAGAAGGTGTCTTTTAATCTGCACCAACTGGCCCCAATCCTCTTTGCAGTTTTTTCTAAATTTTTAAAAATCTGTCCTTTCTTTTTCTTCCTATTTTTCTGTCTCTTCCCACAGATGTTCAGTGTATCAGTCTTCCACAGTTTCCTTTTCTCACTTCTAATTTATTCTCTTTTTTTTTCCTGAAGTTAGAGAATCTACAGAAGGAAGATTATTAAAATTATGCCATGAATTTTTGAAAAATGTAAAATGGCTCTCCTACCTACAAATAAAATACATGGATTTCTGATACTAATTTCAGTTTGTCAGTAGATGGCTACATTTGTTGAATAATTGACTGCTTGGCAAATGAGCTGTTAGCTGTAATTAGTTCTTCACTACTAATATTAAGGAAATTTTGTTATTTTTGGATGAGGACTCTCCCAAAGCCAAATTATTGCCCAAGCAAATTATTTATTTTTCCATTTAAATTTCTAAGTCATTTTGAGATGTGGAATGATTATTATTTTTATTATTTATTTATTTATTTATTTATTTTTGAGACGGAGTCTTGTTCTGTCACCTGGGCTTTAGTGCAGTGGCACAATCTGGCTCATTTCAACCTCCGCCTCCTGGGTCTAAGCGATTCTCCTGCCTCGGCCTCCTGAGTGGCTGGGATTACAGGCATGCACTGCCACACCTGACTAATTTTTGTATTTTTAGTAGAGACAAGGTTTCACCATGTTGGCCAGGCTGGTGTCAAACTCCTGACTTCAAGCTGATCTGCCCACCTCAGCCTCCCAAAGTGTTGTGATTACAGGCATGACCCACTGCACCCAGCCTGGAATCATTTTTTAAAAATAATTTGTGGGAAACTTGCTTTCTCAACATAAATTGTGTGGGGGTTGTTTTTGTTTTTTGAGACAGGTTCTTTCTCTGTTGCCCAGGCTGGAGTGTGCAGTGGAACAATCATTGCAGCCTTGACCTTCTTGGCTCAAGCAATCCTCCTGCCTCCCGAGTAGCTGAGTCTACAGGTGTGTGCCACCATGCCTGAATGGATATGCAGTTTGTTTTTTTTTTTCTGTTTTTTGTTTTTTCTTTAAGACACGAGGTCTCACCGTGTTGCCCAGGCTGATCTTGAATTCCTGGGCTCAGGCATTCCTCCTGCCTCAGCCTCCCAAAGTGCTGGGATTACAGATGCAAGCCACCATGCCTCATCTGTTTGCTGATTTAAGACAGGTTTATGTGCATTATTATCTTTAGAGGCACGTAGAATCTAGACATATACTTGAAACTTGGCTCTCTATCCTGAAAGTTGAAGTTAGAGTTCTTTGATCCTGGTGAGATGTTAATTGTAATTTTAATTTTCACATGTTAATATTGTGACTTATATTTTGTGATGAGTCTCTAAAATGATTAAATGACTTATTTTTTTTATGGAAAATTTTTTGTTAATAAAATATCAGAGTATTTTGAGTATGTGGAAGGAATGCCTGAATAGAAGCTGATCTATCTTAACATACCTCAATAACTCCAGTTTTAATATGGTGAGTGAGGAGTTGACTGGGAAAAGGAGAGATCCAGTTCTTGTTCTAGTCCTTGGCACATACACTCTCTGGGTTTTGAGAAAAGGATGGTCCTACCACAGTTCTAAGTTGTTTTCTCAAAGGCAAAAACATGATTTCGAAATGACATCACTTGTCAGATTTTCTGGTATGTGGAAAGATTGAATAATCCTGCATCTTTTGAAGCCTGAAACATACAATTTAAAGCCTGAAATCTACCATAAGGAACTTGGTAAATTTTGTCAGATACCATGAAAATGCACCTCTTCATAGTTAACCACAGATTGTATATGTAAAGGCAAATTGGTGATCAGGCTCAAGGTAAAATAATTATTTGAATGGATTATTGGGTTGATTAGTAGCCAAAAACTAAATGCATGTTCAGGTCAAAATGAATTTGTTCATTTTAGTTGGTACCATTTTCCTTTTATTATTCAGAACTACAGATTGTGCATTTTATTAATAGGAATGAAAGCTCATGCTTACGGATTTGAGTAGGGTGGATGTATATATTTTATAAATTCAAGTTGCAAAATATGTAAAGTCACTACTTTTTAAATAGAATATAAATGTTAAAACAGACAAATCTATGTTATATATTTTTTAATACATATATCAGACTTGTTAGTTGAATGCAGATTACTTTGTGTGCTTTATGGAATTTCATAACTTTTAATAATAAAGCAGTTGTCACTGGATTTTTTTCTGTAGACTTGAATACTAAATGGGATAGATACCAGACCTCTTTTTGGTTTATGATGTGAAACTTCATTTGTACAGTAGTTTCTCTTCACAAAAGACTGAATTTTAAAGGATTATAGAAACAGGAACATGTCCATTTCCAAAATGAGTGCAACAGAATGAAGATAGTCACTCAAACCATCTATTTAACACATCATCTTTATGTAATATGTAGCTAGTTTTAGTGTTTATGTTTTAATAAGTCCCAATTAAAGACTGAGCGTTTTCAGAGAAGATGGAAATGGAGACCCAGGCACTTGTTTAGAGTTATCGTGAGTCCGATGTTTCTGAACTTCAAGTTGTACAATTAAGGACATACTGTAAGAACTTCTGGATGCTTTCTGGAGTATACAAACAGATCAACTAATGACTTAAATGAGTGACTCTTGAAGCTGCAAGAAGAGGAAGGAAATAACCACAAGAAGGGGCTATCTCAGCGTCTGTTATTTCTGACAGGAAGAATTAAATATGCTCTGCTGGTAATTTCTAAGTGTTCTTTTCTACAGGGGATCTGCTTGCCTCAGGAGCACCTTAATCCTCATTGAGGCAGCCATTCTGCCATAAAAATGATCATGTTTCAAACTGTTCCTGCCGTCCTACACAACTATGTTAGTAGATGGTTAGATAAATATATGAACCATCTTCTTTTGTACTTTGATGGTGCCCTTTTCCTTTATTATAATCCTTAAAGTAATTTCTACTTTCCATAGTAGGATTTGACTTTTCTCCACTACTTTAAGCTACTCTGGATAAGTGATTCTGTTTATGTCCTCCCTATATTTCTCACTGATTTTCACACTAACATAACACATAACAAAGTTAAACATAAGCTAAATTGAAGGATCAAGTGACACAGCTAAGAGTTTTGTGTACTTGGATAATAAAGCTCAAAGCCACAGTGGTTATCTGTCCTGTTGGGAGCCCCTTTCAACCAGTTTTTTAGTTGCCTGTGAGATTTATTTTTAATGTTTGCCTGCGTGATGCAGAATACATAAGTGGGAATCCCTACACCCTTTACAGTTAAGTGGATTATGGAAATAATAAGGAAAGTTTATCCCAAGATAGGAAGTATCTTCTCATGTGTGTACCTGGCCTTCAAGGACTTAATGTGGGTGAATATATATCATCAGACAAGATCCTAATATAGATGGCTGTATCCTGCAGATAGCCAATTCAACATTAAAATTTTATGTCTCCATATTCACCCCAATGAAAACATTTATTTTATCCTGCTATAATTTAATGACATTCCCATCCAACCTAGTTAACCAAGCAGTGATACTCAGTAGTCCTCTCCTTGCATTTTTCAAGTCCTGTTGAGTGTAACCTTAAAATGTCTCTGAGATTTCTACCTTCTCTCCAGTCTCGTTACCATTAGGGCCTTTCACTACCTGGCCTTGGTGTCCCTAGGCTGCTCTTCAGCCATCCACAAACCTTGTTTCATAAGCAGTAGCAATGCAACCCTCCACTGTCCTCTGCTAATGTTCTTCCCTGTTGCTAGACTGTTCATGATCTGCATTTCTACCTGAAAGGTCTAGTTTTCAAAGGTAGCTGAAAGGTTGTCATCCATGTCCTTTCTTCTCTCCCTACCAGTCATCTATCCTGAACTTTTTAACAGTAGGGACAGTGTGGCAATTGTGTTTGTGTCCCCAGCACATAGCACACAGTACCTAGTATACAGTACCTGTAGCACATAGGCATTTAATAAGTGTGTATTGAATTAACTTGGTTATACTTGTATTTTTATCCTAGCTTTCTCAAAGAAACTTAGGTGGTAGCTATTTTGAAACATACATCAAGAAGCACCACCTGAGTAAAATGTTATAGCAGAACCCTGCTCTTTCTATCCCAGAGAGTTTGAGAAAATTACTTTTAAATAAATCATTAATCATTCCTCATTGGTTTTGGCTTCTTTTTTATAGGTGTTTCTCATATCTTTATCTCAGGCAAATTGCTTGTCACAAATTAATTGTTTTAAACTAAATACATCTCAGGAACCATAAAATCATAAAGGTAAACCTGACATAAAGTTAAAAACCAACATTAAGCAGATAATTATTGTGTACCTTTCATGTGCCAAGAAGGATGGCAGATAAAGTATATATCTTCAAAGGGCTTATGTAATAAGGGGGATAATAAATAGAAAAACATATCATAAAATGTTACAAGCCTTAAGAGGTGCAGATAGTTTCTGATTATCACAGAAACATGTCTGCCAAAAGTACTGTAACGCATAAAGATAGACGGGCCAGGCACAGTGGCTCACGCCTGTAATCCCAGCACTTTGGGCGAGTGGATCGCAAGGTCAGGAGCTTGAGACCAGCCTGGCCAACATGGTGAAACCCCGTCTCTACTAAAAATACAAAAATTAATGGCGTCTGTAATCCCAGCTACTTGGGAGACTGAGGCAGGAGAATAGCTTGAATCCGGGAGGCAGAGGTTGCAGTGAATTAAGATCACGCCATTGCACTCCAGTCTGGGACAGCGAGACTCCATCTCCAAAAAAAAAAAAGACACAGGGGACTCCAAAAGGGAGTGGGGATAGGTGCCAGGGTTGGAAAAACTACCCATTGGGTACTGTGTTAGCTATTTGGGCAATGGGTTCAATAGAGCCCAAACCCCCAGCATTAGGCAGTAGATCTGTGTAATCAACCTGCACGTGTACCCTCTGAATTTGTTTTCTTTAATACCGTCATGGGCCAGGCATGGTGGCTCACACGTGTAATCCCAGCACTTTGGGAGGTCAAGGCAGGTGGGTCATTGAGGCCAGGAGGTCGAGACAAGCCTGGCCAACATGGAGAAACCCCATCTTTACTAAAAATACAAAAAAGCTGGGCATGGTGTCACATACCTGTAATCCCACTGTTTGGGAGGCTTAGGCACAAGAATCACTTGAACCTGGGAGGCAGAAGTTTCAGTGAGCTGAGACCATGCACCGCACTCCAGCCTGGGTGACAGAGCGAAACTCCATTTCAAAAAAATAAACATACTGTCATGATCTGAAAAATGT